GGGTGGGATCACCACTTGTTCTTTCAACTCCTCCTCAGTATTAGAGGGAACGTGAGCTTAGAGACAAAATATCATCTCCCACTCGTTCATTTTTTTCTATTTTCAAACATTTTCATTCTTCTCTCAGCAGCTGCCTCAGTGCAGAGACCTGTTCTTAGCAGACACACCTGTTCTTAAACATTCACACCTGGTCAGTAGTTCTGTGCTCTTCCCTTTGCTTGGAACTAGAAACATTTACAGTCAAAGTAAAAAAAAATAAATAAACCCAAAAGTGGACCAGAATAATCAGCCTTTTCTTCTGGTGGCAACGAGCTACAGTGGGCAGGTTCCCATCCTGCTTACTAACAGTATTTTTGAGATTAAAAAGCAGACACTGTGTTCTAAAATATTCTTCATTGATAGTTGCAGTGATTATCCTGAAACACTACTGACTTCAGACCTCACCTGTGCTGCTCTGCTGCATTTCCTGCCACAGGCTCTGCCATGTGTTTTATATGAAGAAGAAAAGCACATTCAGCAGCTAAAGCAGTAACAGAGGAGAAGCCACAGAATCAAAGCCCTTCTCGGGGCAGTGGAAGGTAAATGTTGTGTCACTACAACACCAACCCTGGTTGGGTCAAAGGGCACTAGTTTGGCTCACTAAGCACCACTCCCCTGGACTGACAAGCCCAAACTGTCCACAGAGGTCGGATCTACAACTATTTCCTTCTCCCCTCCTCACCCAGCAGGTACTACCTGATGCTCAGTTGTTCTACACAGAAACATCCTCCTTTCACAAAGTTAAACTGTGACTGGCAACTCAGGCTCAGAAAGGCACTTCAGATACTCCTGTGGTTTGGTCTGGTCTCAAGGAAAGGTCCAGCAGCCCTGTCCAGCACAGTGGGATGTACAGCCAGGGAGTGCCCAGACAGGGAGGGGCAGCAGCAGCTCTGGGAAGGATTTCCCACCACTCACTCACCTGGCTTAGCCTTGCAGAGGCGCCACAGGCACATGTTTTTTGAAACAACCATATTATTCACATTATTTCTGAATGCAGTGGTTCAATCCCCATTAACTGGATCTGCCTCACTTACTTGTGGGGTGTTTTTTCTGTTGCCTGCAGGGCAGTGACAGCCCCTGTGGCTCCGACCCCCGGTGCCCGCGGGAGCCCAGGGGCCCTGGCTGTGACAGCACCCACCTGCTTCTGTCCCTGGGTCTGGGTCCCCTCCCACCCTCTCCTCCCCAGCCCCTCCACAAAGGGTCATTTCCTCCCCCTGCTGCTCCTGCCCCGAGCAGTTTAACCCGGCTGTGTGTGGGATGAGCTGCGGCGGGAGC